GGCAGGCTCCAGCCTGACGAATAAGTTGTTGGTCATTATAACAGAGACTGCCTTATCTTTTTCCCTTTTTCTTTTTTAAATTCATAACCTGATACTGTTTTTCATTCTTCTCTTTAGCTTTCACTTTATGAAATGAAAGTGAGTCATACAACTCTGGTGCTCTGTAAAGCACACAGAGGTTTGGTGGAGCCCTCTCCTGATAGGTGTGGCCCTGTCAGGCAGATAACATAGAAGGGAGAGTACTTAGTGGACCATGAGGTCACTCTGTAGGGACAAAGCAAAGTGGTGGGAACAGAAACCGAACATGATGCGCTTATCTTTAGCATGGAGTGCCGGTAAACAGGACATGTCGGCCTCCGTGAATTGACTACGCTGTCCTGGTCTTCCTCCCTGCACATTGCTGGTGGTCGTGCGCAGAGGCACGGGGTCCACGCATTCACAGATGAGTCACCAAGAAAAGATTATGAAACATTGCCCGAGGTTAGAGTAGCACAAAGTCTGGAACCATAACTGCTGATTTACCGAAGAAAAGCTGGGCAAGTGAGCAGACGGTCAAAATGATACAAGTCAACTCTGATTTTCCGTCACTACCGTGTCAGATTAGAATACGGGGCTGCCTTAGTCCATTTGGGCTGCTCTAACAAAAATACCGTAGACTGGGCGGCTTCAACAACAGACATTTATTCATAGTTCTGAAGGCCGGGAATTTCAAGATCAAGGTGCCAACAGGTGTGTGTCTGGTGAGGGCCTCCTTGTTGGTTCATAGATGGCCGTCTTTTTGTGTGTCCTCACGTTGCTAAAGGGGCAGGAGAGCTCTCTGGAGTCTCTCTGTTTTGTTTTTATTGTAGTAAGATTGTTATACAAGATTATATATATTTAAGTTATACAACATTATAATTCAATATTTGTATATACGACATAGTGTTCATCGCTATAAGTCTCGTTACTGTCCATCACCATACAGTTGATCCCCCTCACCTATTTCGCCCTCCCCCAGACTCCTTCCCTTTTGGGGTCTCTTTCATAAGGGCACTAAACCGATTCATCAGGGCTCCACCCTCATGACCTGTTCACCTCCCAGAGGGCCCACCTCCAGATACCATCGTATTGGGGGTTAGAATTTCAACCAATGAATTTCGGGGGGAGGGACACAAACATCCATTCATAACAGGGTCTCTATATATTCCTAAACAGCAGCCTTTTTATCACCTTTCTCTAGAAGTGACCACAAGTCTCATGCTTCACTCTACATGATATACCCATAAAATGTAAACACATATTTAATATAATATAGACACAAGGACCTACCGCCATTTTTATTTTCATGGCACTTGTCCAATTTTTCCTGGAGTAAATTCAGAGGCCAAGGACTGTCTTACTAGTTAAGACTAATGGCATTTTATAGGCGTCTTGGGCAACATTCTGATGGGCGCCATTGTGGGGGGAGCTTGGGTTGATTTAATCGTTCTGGACAGTAACTAGACTTACAGTGGTGAACTGTGTGTGGTCTATATAAATACCTGCCTTTACAAGGAGCAGCCTGTTTGTTCCTCTTGCTCCTGGCTCTCTGTCCCTTTGATCTGTCACTTAGTTGCTTCAATACTTAAAAGCCTCTGGTCATTGGCTTGAGGGAATTCCAGAGTTAAAGGCGTGAAACCTTTGATCCTGAATCTACAGAATCAGAAATCTTTCCAGTTCTCCTTTAAGCCCAGAGCGGGGGACTTAGGAGAGTGGAGCGGTGGAACATGCGTGGTTTGCTCTTATTTACTAGGGTAACTGTTGATGATATAAGACAGTTATAAGTCAAAACAGTGACTTACAATATATAAAATAGTAATAACAAACATGCAAAAGCCATACACACCTAAGTGAGTATTGTTACTCAAAGTAATATCCTAAGCTGTATGCTTATCCAACTAAGCGTCACTCAAGACATTTTTAAAAACTTTTTTTTTTAAAGATTTTTATTGGGGAATTGGGGGGTTGGGAACAGTGCTGGGGAATTGGGGGAAGGGGAACAGACAAGTTGCTGTCGTTTTTCGTTCTTTCAGTCTAGTTGTGGAGGACGTTGCTTCACTGGCCCAAGTTGGCACCATCATTGCGCTCTTCCTGGGCAAGGCAGATCAGTCGCCAGCTTCTGGATGGCTGCTCACTGTGGCTGCTGGCCGCTCCCGCTGGCTGCTGGTTACACACGGTAGCCCATGGCAACCCACTGCCACAGGGGCTGCAGCCTACGCCGTTGCCTGCGACTCATGGCAGCCCAGCTCCAGGTCGAGCTGTTGTTCAGCATCTTAGCTGTAGAGGGCAGTGTCACTGGCCCTCATATGTGGGATCCGAACCGGGGCCCTCTGGCGTCCCAAGCCAGTTCTTAACCATCGCGCCACTGGGTCGGCCCACTCAAGACATTTTGGAGTTTTTCCTTTGAAGCTGCCTTTGAAAACAGCCTGCAGTTTCTCACAGAGCCCCGTGTTAGTACTGTAATCACGGGTGGTCTTCCTTGGTCTCACATCTTTTTCTGCGTCCTCTTCCTTCTTTGTCTCACTCTTGTCTCAGCGTAGCTTTGGTTCTTTGGCAGATGGTGGGGCCAGGCTGGAGCGGGGTCTCCTGGATAAGCATTATGACTAACGAAGGCCCCTTCACCCAGGGCTGGTTGGTAACACAGGTGCATGTGACAGCCGCCGTAAATGCAGTGGGTCGAGTCAGTGCTTTCAAGGGCAGCGCCTGTAACCCAGCGGGGGACAGATGTGTGACGGCTCGCTTGCCTTTCACAGGTGGGCCTCTTCGTGGACTTTTTCGTGCGCCTCTTCACCCAGCTGAAGTTTGGAGTGGTACAGACATGTATCCTTTTCGCTGTTGTTGGCGTTCCCGGATGTCAGCAGTCTCTGACTTCGCTTTCTTGCCTGGAAATGAGTTTAACAGTAGACAGGATCTATGAAGAGCTCTTTATGAGCCATTTGGCTTTAAGGTATTTAATTATCATCGAAGGACACAAAAGGAACACTTTAATAAACAGAGAGACTCACATTCATGGTTGGTAAGACAAACTGCCAAGATGCCTGCTTTTCCTAGTCAGTCTATAAATTCAATATAGTTTCAGTGGAAATTCTAATAGAATTTTTTTGTGGAGCTCAAAAAAATTCTCTCCCTAAATTTGTTTGGAAGAATAAAAGGCCAAAGGTAGCCTTGAACAACAAGCAGGGGGACTTGACTAGATGTCAAGACATACAATTCAAAACACAGTAATTGAAACGGTTGTCACATTGGTGCAGGAACACCCAATTAGACAATGGAAAATAAGAGGGAGGCAGGAACTGGCCTGTACATGTACAGAAGTGCAGTGAATGACAGAGTTACTGTTATAAATCAGTGAGGAAAAAATGGATTGTTTAATGAAAGATGCTGGGGCATTGGTTATCCAGCTGGAAAAATACAAAATTAGATTCCTACTTTGTACTGCAAATTAATTCCAGGTGGACTGAAGCTGTAAATAGGCAAAACAAAACTTTAGGAGGCCAGATGATGTCAGGAGTAGGGAATCTTCAGAAGCCACAATGTGAAAGGGAAAAGGGCAGTAAACTTGACCACATCGAAGTAAATGTTCTAGTTACACAACAGAAACTCCCAAACAGCACCAATAAAACAGCATAAACAAAGTGGAAAACAAGCCCCCAGCCTCAGTGAGGTTGTTCGCTATGCATCTAAGAGACAGATAGTTCATATCCAGAATATACTAGAAAGAACTGCCGCTCTAAGAAAAAAAGCCCAAGCAGCCCAATAGAAAAACTAGCAAAGGATAGGAGCAGGCAGTTCTCAGAAGAGGAAAATTGAATGGTCAGTAAGCAAACCTGTGGGAAAGTGCTCACCTCACCGCTGATCAGGGAAATGGAAATTTAACAAGTAGGAAGGTGGACCTTCCTATCTATGACCGAGGAGTTCCTCCCCCAGTTGTGGACCCTAGACGTGTACAGAGATGTCCATTGCAGCTTTGTGGCTGCAGAAAGTTGGATTCACACCAAGTAGGAACATGGGAAAATTGTGTTGTGTTCATATGACCTAATTCCATGCATAAGTTAAAATGAATGCACCAGAACTGTGTGTATCGATAGACATGGCTAATTCTCAAGAACTTAAAACATGTTGACGGAGAGAAAAAGGGAAGTTGTCGTATGTGCCTAAAATACCGTACCGTTATTTTAATTTTAGAAACAACAATATGGATACATAGGAAAATATACAAGTGTTAGCCTAAAAATAAAAAGCCAAAGTGAGAGGCAACCAAAGAATAGCTGTTTGGGAAACACTGATTCAGGCAGAAACCCAGCAGTGTTTGGGTTAGGAGGTAAAGGCAAGGGGAACAGTTACAGAAATAGGAGGAAGAAATGTCTTTGGGTGTTAGTAAGCTAAGGAAGGGATTTCTATAAAGTACAGATAAGCTGACATCGGTTAAAGCCCAATAGTCAGAATGTCCGCTTTCTTGGTATTATTGCAAACAATTGTTGGGAATACAGCGCTGCTTTAGGCCCCATCCAAAGGTTAACTTGCCTGGTTTTAACATTCCAAAGGCTTGAGGAGTAAGACAGGATGCAGTTCTCTAGATAGCAGTGCTGACTCCCTTTCAAAGTGGCTTCATTTATAGTATTTGTCTACGGAAAAAACATCCCACCTAAGAGAAAGCTTATAAGAGTTTATTTGAGCCAAACTGATGACAATTGCTGGGAAACAAAGTCTCAAGGGATTGAGAAAATGCTCCAGCAAATGGCTGTTTTGCAATTTATACATTAGAATCAAAGGAGGAAGGTTACATGAAATCCATTGGTTGTAGATTAAGGGGTTGAGAGAAAACAAAGCAGGGGAAATCTCCGGGATACAAAGTAAAATGGAGAGACATACTTCTTTTACATTGGTGGGTACAGCATAGTTAATAGCATTTTATAGCCTGTAGAGATAGTATTTGGGAAACAAGATAACAATGAGAATTTTGTAGTTTCCTGCTCTGGTGTGTGCCCCCTGGGGGTTCCGGAGAAAGGGATTACTCTGACACTCCAAGGGTATGTTATCCTAGATGCAAAAAGACAACAGATAGGCTTACTTAAGGTAAAGATTGACCTTTGTTAAGGAAGATACAGGCCAAGGATGTGACTACGGACCACAACTCTCTTAGTTAGGAATTTTTATGTTCAGACTGGCTTATGTGGTTATTTTCAGCCTCCTGAGCTTGTTTAACCTGTCACCTGTTTCCATCCACCTATTTCTCAGGGAGGGAAGGACGCACAGTAATATCAGGTTAGTGGTTTCTCCCAGGGGAGACAGGGACAGAAACATAAAGGTGCTTTTTTGTTTTTTAATGTACTTCATATTTTCATTTTTAAAAAACGCTTGGAGCAAATATGGCATCGTGCCGAGATCTGTTAAAAGCTAAGGCTGTGGGGGTTATCGGTTTTTGTTACCTTTTGTAATGTTTGAAGCATTTCATAATTAAAAATGGTTCCTGACATCGCAGGCAGTTTTTATTAAGTTTATACCGGGAGAACGGGAAGGTGTGCAGTTAGCAGCCAACACGTTTCAGAAGTGGAGAAGTAGTACTGTCTCAAGTCGTTGCAGGAGCACCCCTGGCTGGCGAGCAGTGTTTCCTTAACCCAGTTTCTGTAGCGGTGGAGGAATGCAGCGAGAAAGGCTGCCTGGCCCTGTCCCTCCTTGAACTCTTGGGTTTCAACTTGACCTTTGTCTTCTTGGGGAGCCTTCTTGTCCTCATTGAGGTGAGGTGAGGTGGTGTGGGTGCTGCCTTTTTTGCTCACAAGGTTTGGGATCCTGCTTTCTTTTTCCCCACCCCCGGCCCTGTTTCTGGAATGTCAGAGAACTGAATTAGACTTAGAATATGTGTATAGATTCCTGCAGAAAGTGGCTTCTTGTCCACTTAGAGATGTTTCTGAAAGTAAAGGTTTTGGCCTCTGGTGAGATGAAAGAGGAAAAATCTAGATTAGGAGGGTGGTTCTCCACCTTGGGAGCACATTACAATCCCCTGAGGAACTTTAAAAATGAACTTTAATACCTGGGCCCCAGCGCGAATGAATGAGATCAGAATCTGTGGAAGTGGGGTGCCTGCATGGATTGTTGAATGGCATCCCAGGTGATGCTGAATCACTGGGGACTCGTTAGAAATGCCCCCCCCCCGCCCGCTCATACCCACTTACGAGTCAGAAGCCCAGGGTGGGGCCCGGGGGTGCTGATGCTAATGAAGAAGTCAGTTTGCCACCTGTAGGGAGGTTGTTGGGTAGGCCACAGAACCAGTGGATCTGAGCATACAGTGTGTTCATTCTCCCCACTAGCCAGTGGCAGCAGGTTCTGGAATACCCGAGATCAAATGCTATCTGAACGGCGTGAAGGTGCCTGGAATTGTCCGTCTCCGGACCCTGCTCTGCAAAGCCTTCGGAGTGCTGTTTAGCGTGGCCGGAGGTAAGGAGGGCCTTTCAGACTTGGACCTTCAAGCGTTCAAGGGACTAGATGAGGAGAAGCATTCTGTATGTAAATGAAGTAGGATTGGCTCGGAGGGCCCGCCCCCAAACAGATCTCTGCACATTTTGTTGCTCGGTTTTGTTTTTCTTTTAAATGCAGACACTGTTAGAGTAAGTTACCAGTCAGAGACTTCTGACAAACTCACTGTTCAGTTTTGAAATAGAACGACCAGCTCGTTGGTTTATGGAGTTGACTTTGAGCAAAGTTGGTGAGCTTTTTGTGTAAACAGTCAGATAGTCAGTATTTTAGGCTTTGTGGGTCAAGAGGCAAAATGGAAGATAGTATATAGGTACTTAAACTTACAGAACCATTGAAAATGTATCCATGTAGGAACGTAGAAACCAGCCTTGGTTCTCTGACTGTCCAAAGAGGCAGCAGAGCCTGGCTTGGCCATGAGCTACAGTTTGCTGGCGCCCAAAGAAGAGTTTAAAGAGTGTCAAGTCTTATAAAGTCATGGGACCATCTCTGTTTTATAGTTGTCAGGAGAACGAAAGGTTTACGTAGCAGAGGTCTCCTGGCCTAGACACTGTTCTGTGCTGACCGACGGCCTCTCCTCCTCCTGTTCCCAGGGCTCTTCGTGGGGAAGGAAGGCCCCATGATCCACAGTGGAGCGGTGGTGGGAGCTGGCCTCCCTCAGGTAAGGGCCGATGGGTTGGGAGGGTGTGTCCCCCCTCCGTGGTTTCCCGGGCAGGGGCATGGCCCAGGGTCATGTCCGAGACTCAGTTTGGAAAAAGTCCACTGGAAGCACCCTAACATGGCTTTGGAATCTGATGTCAGTTGAGTTGATATGAAAACTATGTGGCTTGTCTCCCGGGAGAGCCGGTAACTGGTGCTGTGACGTTTTTAACAAGGCCCTGCTGAGTCCTAGGAGCAGAAATGGGACATAGAAAAGGACGGTTCAAACGAAAGTCACCTGGTGTTCCCACGGCCATTGCCCAGCGTCCTGACCTAAGGTGGCCCAGTGGGTCGGCTCAGTGCTGCCGGATCCCAAGGGGCTGGAAACATGACTGAGGTGGTCCTGGGCATGGATCAGTGCTGATTCCATCCAAGTAGCCTGGGAATGAGAACAGCTCAATGCTGTCTGGGCCACACTCTCTGTGTACCGACTCCTTTTTTCTCTAAAGCCACCTGGAGGGTTTAGTTGTCCTCGTCACCCTCAGAGTAGGAATCTGAGCCTGAGAGAGGGTGAGGAGCTAGCTCAGGACTCCAAAGCTCCCATCCTTAGAGGCTAGTGCACGTTCCAGGCTGCAGGTTTGAGAAGTCTCAGCTCCTTGTGATCTGTCACTTGTGAACGTGTATCTCTCATGTTCTGAGGGGAGGGAGTGACTGATGGTGAGTGGTCGAGGCAAAGGAGAGGCGACGCTGGCTCACAGCCCATGTTTTGAGCTCTGTCTTGCTGCTGCTTCTTTTCCTTCACATCAAGCCCCCTGCCTCCCGGAAGTGAGCTGAGAGGTGAAAGGGAGGCCAAGCTGGGGCTGGGCGGTAGCGTGAGCATTAGTCGGACAGACTGAAAGAGGGCGCTTTCGGCCGCTTCCTCACCGCCATGCCCTGAGCAGGAGTGACTTGATCTTCTGCAGCACCTTTCAGTTCCTCCCAACTCTTTGCTCAGCTGTTTCTTCCCCATTTTTCTTTCTCCCTTGTTAACTATGAGCAAAATGCAATTTTCAAAGGTTCTAGATTTGGGGGCAGGAAAGCAAGTCCCTCCCTAAGGTCACTTCTTTTTTTCCGGAAGACTGTCCTGGCCTCTTTCTTGCAGCACATCTGTCCAGGTGTGCTCAAGCAACAGGGACTTCCTGGTGCTGTAGGTTCCTGCAGCTTTGGTCCCTGTGGGCCCCCCTCTGACATGGTTTTCTCTCATTTTAGTTTCAGAGCATCTCCTTACGGAAAATCCAGATTAACTTCCCCTACTTCCGAAGTGACAGGTATGGAAAGGTTAGGCATTGGATTATTTATGAAAAACCAACTGTTCATTTACTGCTCCTCAGACCCAGTCCTCACGCTAGCTGGCTCATGGTCTCTGCCCTGCTGGGCACGCCGCACGCGACCCGGTGTCAGAAAGGACGTGGGCTTTGAGTTATTCTTTTGAAAATAAGGAGCACAAGGGCCAGGCTAGCATCATGGCTTCTATTCTGTCATGCCACATCTCAGGCCATGGAGATTAAAAACACAACTGAGAGAGTCCTTGGGCATTTCATCCAGAATGAATGCCAAAGAGATTTACTTGGTCTGCCGCTTTTCTGGGTTAGAAGGCTCTCTTCTCGGTACTCTCACCTGGTGGGATCTGTGCGTGTTAAACCGTCCTGCACACCTTACAAGGCCCATGGTCAGAGCTGTCCGCCTTCTCGTCTTGGCATTCCCTGCAAGTCATTGTCACCTGCTGCTGTAAGATGTAACCAGCAGTTTGACATTTTCACTGATGCCGTGCCTTTCTGGAAGGAAGATGTGGTGAGAATGGCTCAGCAGTGACGGAGCTGGGGCTGCGATTCCGTGTTCAGAGTAGACTCATGTCAGGGGTCCCTCCACCTGGAGGGACTCAGGCTGGGGAGAGCGTCTGGCTCTCAGATGAACTGTATTTGCTGCCGAGTCGGCCTCACCAGAGACCTGCCCTCCTAAGCCCCGACTTCATGGGTCCTGAGATAAAACATTGGAGGGGAAGGAAGTGAAAACCTGCCTTCTGCGGCCCTACGGCTCTTTCTCGGGGGAACCATCTGAGGCGAACTGTCTTCTCTCCTCAGAGACAAGCGGGACTTCGTATCAGCAGGGGCGGCTGCCGGCGTCGCTGCAGCTTTTGGGGCTCCCATCGGGGGGACCTTGTTCAGTCTGGAGGAGGGCTCATCCTTCTGGAACCAAGGGCTCACGTGGAAAGTGGTGAGAAGGGCCTTCAGTGCTAACCTCCTCCTAAGCTTAAAACCCCATCCCCAGATTTAAACTGGGCGTATTGTACTTGATACATGTACCTGTAGCTTTTTTTTTTTTTTTTAGCTGAGCCATCCTGCCACCTGTTGGCAGCTCAGCGGCTGCTCAGCTCAGGCTGGGACTCAAACCACTGTTGCTCAGAGCTCAGACTCTTGAGCGAGCTCTTAACCAACTGAGCCACTCGGCTGGCCCATTTACCTGTAGTTTTGATGAGACCGGGATGGTTGGCTGTATTGGAAATTCCTTTGCTCTCGACACCATAACTGCCAAACTGTGGACTTTTTGCTACTTTTTGTGTTCCTCCTTCCCCATCCTCACATCAAACTGCCATTATCCTCTGTTGATGAACCGTCCGACATGAAAACATGGAGCGGGCTGTGGTCATCAGGCAGAGCCCGGACTTGAACCCCCCTCTCCTACTCAGGGTATTGTGTTCTTCCTCTGGTGCTGACTGGTCTGTAATTGGCTGTAAATGAATAGGCTCTCACAACAGGCTGTTGGAAGAGAAACTTGACGCTGCGGCTGTAGTCAGTGCCGTGGTTACTGGGTCCCCCATAGCAGCCCTGGAGTTTGCAGGTTTCCACGTGGAACAGGAGGTTCTCTGAGGAAGTGTCAGGGAGAAAGTCGGACTTGTCACTATTGAGTGTTCTTCTTTTTGTCACCTGTCCCCTAGCTCTTTTGTTCCATGTCTGCCACCTTCACCCTCAACTTCTTTCGTTCTGGGATTCAGTTTGGAAGTTGGGGCTCCTTTCAGCTCCCTGGATTACTGAATTTCGGCGAGTTTAAGGTACGTTTTGACCTTCCCCCCAGGATTTCTTAGTTGACCTATAACAACTGCTCTTAAGTAAAGTACCAGAGACAAGTGATCAGAAGGGTAGGTACAGCTTCTAGTGGGGGCGTCTCTGCCCCTTTAGGCTCCTGGGCATGTGCCCTGCTCGGTGCGGGCATTGGCTGTTGTAGAGAGCAGGCAGCCTCGCCTCTTGTGTCTGTCTTCTCCGCTTCTGCCCCTCCCTGTTCTCACGGGCACTATGGTTTGTCTCTCTCCCTCCCTTTGCCCCTTCTCTCAGTGCTCTGACTCTGATAAAAAATGTCATCTCTGGACAGCTATGGATTTGGGTTTCTTCGTCGTGATGGGGGTCATTGGGGGCCTCCTGGGAGCCACATTCAACTGCCTGAACAAGAGGCTTGCAAAGTACCGTATGCGAAACGTGCACCCGAAACCTAAGCTCGTCAGGTACCTGTGCAGTCGCCTCCCCCAGCCGGCCATGGCTGCGGGAGCTTTGTGTGGGCCGTCTCCCCCGAGGGAGGCCACTATGGGAACAGACCCTGCCTCCCACACCGGCTTCGACTTCACGTCTAAGCCAGAGAATGTAGCAAGGCTCGGAAATCTCTTGTACTTGCCAGCCAGGCCGAGAGGCTGAGCCTGAGCTTAACTGATACCAGAGTTGTTGGTTGACCCCTAACCTCTCCTGACTTGCCACCAGGACATGTGACAAAGTCAGAAGGGTCAGTGTGACTCTCGCCCCCGGGACCTAAAATGAAAGGCTATTTTGTTCCTCGGAGAGAGATGATGTGGACGCAGCAGCCCACACCCCTGGCTACCCACTTTTTGCACAGAAATTGCTGGAACGCAGCAAATCGCTGGCAGATTCTGCACATGTGTTGACTGACTAGGGGCTACTGCGCATGCTTTTTGGGGAGGTGAGGGTTGGGGGGTAGGCAGCTTATGTGTTTGAGTTCCCAAGACCGGGTGTCTTTTTATTGCTAATAACAGCTGCGTTTTGCCTCCTAGAGTCTTAGAGAGCCTCTTGGTGTCCCTGGTAACCACCGTGGTGGTGTTTATGGCCTCGATGGTGTTAGGAGAATGCCGCCAGATGTCGCCTTCGAGTCAAGGCGGTAACGACTCGTTCCTGCTCCAGGTAACCCAGTGCACCTGCTACCTTCGTCCTACACCCACACAAAGGAGAATCCAGAAATGTATGATGTGTCTCTGTTTCAAGCTGATGGATGTGTTGGGTTTAAGAGAGAGGAATGTGCAGTGTCCTTTTGACCTAAGAGAGGATGTGTACCCTCTGTCTTTTTCACTTTTGTGAACAACCCTGGTTATCATAGAGGGGGTCTCTCCCTCCCTCCCTCCCTCCCTCCCTCCCTC